TTTGCAAAACACTAAACACACTTAACATACATTACACACAAAAATCTATCATGAAGTCACTTCCTTGCAATACCAAAGCACTGACTGTCAAATTACCGCACCGTCCAACCAATTGGTTCAACACAGTCATCAGGTGTGCAAACACTTGTTTGCTTAATTGTAGACACACCAATCAGGTGTATAAGCTCTATAAAAAGCAGCAGGTGAGTTCATCGGTCTTCAAGCACAATGGAAAGAGTCAGAGAAAGAGTAAGATGAGGAGGAGGACAAGGGGGAGGACAAGGGGGAGGACAAGGAGGAGAAGGAATCAACAGAGGAAGAGGAGGACAAGAAGGTGCTCAAAGAGGACCGAATCTGACAAATGAGATCCGTGCAACACTGGTTGACCACGTTGTCAACCACGGCCTGATGCTGAGGGAGGCTGGACTGCGAGTACAGCCAAATCTAAGCCGATACACAGTGGCAAGTGTGATAAGAACATTTCGACTGGAAAATAGGTATTGTAAAAATATCATCATATCAAAAACATCTGCACAGTTTCAGTAACTGCTTACAGTACTGTATTCTATGCACGATCAGCACTTCTGTTACCTTTTCCTGTGAAATTACTGTACTATTGTTACTACTGTTTTTACTTTTCTACATAGGATTGAGGGTCAGGAACGACAAGGGGGAAGGCCTCCTATGTTCACAGAACAGCAAGAGAGGGAGATGGTAAACATGGTTTTGGTAGGGCTGGGCGATATGGCCTAAAAATAAAATCTCCGATTTTATTTACTTTAATTCAATTTACGATTTTTTCCGATTTCCCCCCCTACTTAAGGAAAGCAATAAGGTTTGTTGGTCAGTGCGGCTTTGTTCATCGCGGAGAGACTGGCATTTTTCATATTCGGCTGGATGTCTCTGTTTCAGGTGTTGGAATAGGTTTGTGGTGCTGCTGCCTTTCACTGCGATAGGCTTTAGGCAAATGTTGCAGCGTGGTGTCTGTGTTCCACATCTGTCGCAGCAAACCCATACCAGTTCCAAACAACAGATGACTTTATTCCTTTCTTGGGAACAAACTTCCCGCTCTCACCGGTAGCCATTTTGTCGCTTGCTGTTGCTGTTTAGTGTATGATGTTGTCGCTATGGGAAACGAACACTACGGAAACCCCGGGGAGCCAAAAATGTGCTATTACACAAAAACTCGATTTACTTATTTTTTAAATCGCCCGCAACAAAAAATTCGAATTAATTCATTCAATCGATTTTTCGCCCAGGCCTAGGTTTTGGCCAACAATGCTATAACACTCAATCAGCTCCAAGCTAACATTGTCAATAACCACGCCAGTTTCAACGATATCCATCAGGTCTCAACATCAACACTGGCACGCATCCTAAAAAAAAACATATTCAAATGAAGCAAATTTATCGAGTGCCTTTCAAGCGCAATTCTGAAAGGGTGAAACGACTGCGGCATGATTATGCAGAGGTATGTATTCACTTTAGCAGCGTGATCTTGCATACGGTCTCATAATCTTTTACTGTACTGTAATATGTATACTAGATCTACACTGAACAACACAATTTTGCCTGACACTGTTCTTCAGAGAGTTTTACGAATGGATGGAGAGGAGATCCAGCATGAGTTCATTTACGTAGATGAGGCTGGGTTCAACCTGACGAGAACACGAAGGAGGGGAAGAAACATCATTGGCCACAGGGCTATAGTCAATGTCCCAGGGCAACGTGGGGGTAATATAACACTCTGTGCAGTCATTACACAGAATGGGGTCCTCCACCGCCAGCTAGGCGAAGAGACAATGTCTAGTTTTTTGTTGTTGTTTTTTTTTTACAATAAACTTACAGTACAATATGTAAAGTGACATTTTGTTACAGTATTATGACTCTCCATGTCAACATTTTGGGCGTGTTGAGAAATAAATGAGTTTCTTCAGTCTGCAACATTCGTCTTGTGTAGTGTTTGGTGAATTTACATTATATTTGTACTTTGTTGATGGTAGCCTACTCTAATCATAGGGAAGTAGAAGTGCTAAAAGTGTTTTAGGTTTATCACAGCAGAGTGTAACTCATGCAAACAGAGTATAGTAATGTGAGACGTGTGTGTTTCATATGGTAACAAAGTGTGGTTTTTAAACAGAAGTGTATAGTTTTTACAAGAGCGTTTAATTATGCAAAGGATCTGTAGTGTTTTGCTATTTGGGTGTGTGGTTGTGCTAATTGTATGTAGTGTTTTGAAAATCGTGCTTAAGCAATCCAAAAAAAACTGTTGTCTAAGATGTTGTCTAGTGCAACACAATACAGTTCAACAACATTTATATATAACAGAATGTTTGTCTCTGTACAGCAAGAAAAGCATTTAGATCACTGAAATAAAGTGCACATGAATTCTGAGTTTGTCAGGCCGTGAGACCACACTGGAGGAAACTCTGCAGTCACACAGGCTGAATATCTCAATGACTGAGTCGATCCGCAATGCACAGGTTTGATTGGCTGACTACCATCACGTGACCAGTGCCATAAAGGTTATAAAAGCTGCGCCAGTTAAAATGGAAACACTCCAGAATGCCACAATGACTTGTATCACCAGCAGCTCACATTAGACTTAATAAATATTCAATCCAATCAATCAGTATGAGGACTTAAAAATAAATGGCTGTTGTGAAAAAGGGTAGTGAACACCAGGGCTGAACAATTAATCAAAATCTTATCAAAATTGCAATATGGCCTAATGCAATGTTTTAATCGTAGGAGGTGCAATATTTATCAAAGGCAAAATGTTTGTCATAATACCATTTTAAATGAAATATCATGTGACAAAGATGTCCTGCCCTACACATCATATTCTACAGACTTAACATTTTGTTTGGTACAGATCCTTGCAAAAATCACCCATAATCATTTAAATGTTTTTGAACTACATATTTTTTATAAAATTGTTCAGCCCTAAACAGATTTCCCTTTGCAATTTTTCTCCCTCAACAGTTACATTTTCTTTTAATTGCACAATTGCATGAATTTAAACATGTCACCACTTTCCAGCCTCCTGCTCTCAAATAAAAAAAAAATGACACTGCTGTTAATCCCAACATCAAGCTCCAACCTCCACATATTAATTAACCAAAAGAACATTAAAGAAGTAATACCATTATTTTTCTACATAGAGAGGAGGTGCACCGTTCCTGGAGATACTGCAATACCAGGTCGATGCGCGGAGTGGACGGAGCAAGCCCCTATTCCATCTCCCTGTTCCAAAAATCAATTTAATATATGGTCCCCGGATAGGGGACGTATCAGATATTAAACTGATAAGAACAGATACTACACTTGATCTTAGCCAAAAGGCCGAGAAGCGATGTCGATTACTCAGCAAAGTGGGAGCGTCATTCTCCTCACTGCGAGTCTCACTCAGGGTTGCACATAATTTCAATGTATACAAAAAACAAACCAACAACGTGTAAAAGTGCAGTTTGATGTATTGTGACTAATTGGCGCCAAAATTCACGTACGATTTAACACTTTATTTAGGGAACATTATGATAGTGAATGCGGGTTACTACTATTTCTGGTCGCGTGACGTCCCACTGACCAATAAGCTATCACTACGAGGAGTACAACTTAAGATCCCATTTATTCTTGTAATAACGGCATAATTGTTTGTTTTTAGCTAAAATATAAAACTAACATTAAGTTTAACTATTTCTAATAACATGATCGTGTGTGTGTGTGTGTGTGTGTGTGTGTGTGGATAAGAAGACGTTTAACTTTGAGAGCTAGGCTTCACAAAAATAAATTGAGCGCTGTCTCCCTCTGGTGAAGGAAACTACGAAGGAAACTGCGACTTCAACCGCTCGTAACCCATATACTTTGCATTGCACTTGAGTCCACACTTCAATATTGGCACTACCCATGATAATCTGAGCAAAAGTGTTTAAAATCAATCAAAACATCACAGTGGTGGTAAACAAATACAATAACGCCCCTGACAGACCCAGTGCATCAAGCTAGCAGCAGAACTGTTTCAACTTCCGGTATTTTAGTTTTCAAAATAAACACTGTAATGGTAACGATGTCTATATTTCGATGTGGTGGCAAAACCAGTATCTATGAATAAGTTAAACGTGTTAAGTATGTATGAATAAGTTAAACATGTAGACATTCTCGATAAAAAAAAAAATTCAAAATGTGGGAGTAACGCTTAACTGTGCAAACTTCAAGTGATTTTTACATTTTGCGCGAACTTCAACGTGAACGCGAACTTCTAGACCGCACTCAAAGCGCCATGCAAGCGAACGGCCGTTTCGACACAAGCATGCTGTCTCTCTGCCCCTCTCCCTCCTGTCTTCTTCGCCAAAATGTATCCAATAAAAGCGTCCCCTCTCACACCAAGCAACAATTAGAAACCGTAAGTGTATTTCAGCAGAACCATGAAACATAGTTAAATTAATAGCAACGTTGTAACTCACGTAATAAAAGTTTCACCCGATTGACTGTAAGGTGTGTGCTTCATTCGACGGTAAATTAGCTAACTTGTGATTAGTTACCACCAACTGCTAAAGCAAAACGACTTTAACTAACTACTAACAAAATAACGAGTAACGTTTTAACGTCAGCGTTACATTTCTACAAACACATCTCGCACCTTCCATCTACACGGCCCGCTCACTTTAGCTAGCACAGTTAGCCTAGCACTTAGCGGTTAAGTTAGCATACAGTGTGTGGTTAGCATACATACAACCGTTCAGTTAATACATTTTTACGACATGCAAACGCTATAACATAACCTTGGACAGTATACGTAAAGCCAAAAGACTGCGTGGGATATCAATAAAACAGAAGAGTAACGTTAGAGAAGAGCTGGTTAGTAAAACCTACCTGAAAGCGTCATCTAGACAGCGAATAACCGCAAGTGTGAAACTGCGTCACCTTTTCTACAGGTGACCAGGTGTGACACCAAAATGTGTGACCTATCAGATTCTGTGACCCAAATGGGAAGTTAAGCGCCAGAGGCTTTGTTGACGATTTGATTTTTGGTGTTACACCTGCAGTGGGCACATTTGACAACCATCTAAACCAATCAACAAGTAAAAATACCAAACATTTTAATGGATATTGCATACTTTTCTTTGTTTGACAAAAGCCTGCTGCGTGATTTTTGCCTTGTCTATCTCTGGTACGTTAAGTTAACTATTGGGCGCTTGTCATTATTTTGAGAAGTTACCGTTAAGTAAAACGATTAATTATTTTAGCTCGATTTATGACCATTAGTTATGTTATGTTTTATCTTGGAGAATTTGGCACACAACTACTTACCACAAGCAGACATAGCTCAGAGCGCCGATGAGCCGAGCTGTAAAGGGATTCATGTTAACGTAGTTAAAATTAGGTTTTCAAGCGTAAAGACAACATCTTTATTCTGAAGAAATACCGGAAGTCTTGTTCCTGGTTATCCTGTTCATTTTACATTGGAGGCAGTAACGTTAGTAAACATGGACGAGTTCCATACAGAAGATGAGGTGAGTTTGATACCTACTATAAGTTATTACATGTACGTTACATAGAAATAGCACTCAGATAACGTTAGTACCACACAATTTGAACTTTTAAAGTTTTTCTAAGGTTGGTTAGAAAGTGGTAAGGCGAGCAGCGATGTCGGCTGGCTAGCTTAAATAACACTCTTGTTTCTCACCTAACAGACTGGATTCGTCGTTGAAGAAGTGAGCAAAATAATTAAAGAGGTAAGCAAAAGACAGCCTTGATGATGCCTGTCTGTTTATCCACAGAGTTTAGATTTTATCGGCTCATTACTACAGCTAGCTAGCAGCATTGTGCTTAGCGACCTGTTGGTTGCTAAGGACACTGTAACGGTTGTTAGGCACCTTCCATACAACATATGATTTACAACCGTATTACAAAGACTTTTAAGTACAGTTTTATATTATATGTTGTTGGTTAAGCTGTGATATATGATGCGGAATACAAAGTAATTGATTTATAACATATACTGTACGATACATGAGGCAGATTGACTTGTATTAGCATTACAATGTATAACGTTACCATTGAGTGGGTTTATCAGTTTTCAACCAAACACCACTTTTTTTGTCTCTAAAGTCAGTAGAAGCAGCAATAGGAGGAAATGCCTACCAGCACAGCAGAGTGAACCAGTGGACCGCCAGCGTAGTGGAGCAGTGCCTCAGTCAACTCAGCAAGCTAGGGAAGTCTTTCAAATATATTGGTATGTACACTGCTGCCTCAGTCATATTAACTAGTGAAGCAGTTCTATTCTCATTGTTCTTGGGCTCTGAAGTTGATATTAAAAGACAATGTGTGTTTGTATTTTCCCACAGTAACCTGTATCATCATGCAGAAAAATGGAGCAGGTCTGCAAACAGCCAGCGCATGCTTCTGGGAAAACTCTACTGATGGTAACTTTACATGCAGCTTTTGAAAAATCTATTATGTGTTGTATGAGTGGTACTATAAGTTATGTTTTCAAGACCACAGTTTGCATGACTATCATGTATGATTAGAGAAAGCACCAAAAGCAGTAGAGATGTGAATTTGTAATGCCTTCTCTTCTGTCACCAACTATCAGTGTGCTCTTGAGCAAGGCAGCCATCTTAAAATAAACGCTTCATTCAAGCTTTTGAGTGGTCAGCGGCCAGAAACTTGTAGGATTTTGTCACTGGCTTTAATGTGGAAGTGGAAATACTGTGATTTAATTTATTGTTTATTACACCCAACAGGAAGTTGTGCAGTGAGATGGGAGAACAAGTCCATGTACTGTATTGTCAATGTTTTTGGGCTGGGCATCTGAATCAACTACTTGTACCTGAAGTGTTTGAAATGTATACTATTATTATTACATATTTGAGAACCAGTATGTTATGATAGCTATATATTAAATAAACTGTTGTTTTTTTTATTAAGTGTATACTTGCTTTATTTACATGTGACATGACAGAGTGCTACATGTACAGCTTTTATCTCAAAGCAACAAAAATTGCAAAAACTTCCAACATATCACAAACCACAACAGCCCAATTTAACCACCATAAGCTACATTCACACTGAAACAAAATAAATGTACATTTCTGTCAAAGCATTTACACATTTTAGACTGCAGCCCATTTAGAAGAAAACAGTGATGTAAAGACAAGGCACCATCTAGATTAGAATACATGTTGAGATTATTTGTTAAGGACAGAAGCACATTTGTTTTGGCTGTTCTTGTCCATAATACCAGCCTTACAAAACAAAGGAGAGGGCAGCAAGTCTCACATTGAAGGCAATATAAGGAAAGTTACAGGAGAAAAAATGATTATTCAAAATGAAATGTTCTACATAAGGCAAAATATATTTGGCCAATGATATAACTACTCTGTGCTGCAATAAGAAATGTTTCAGATCGGTAGTCCTTTTACATTAAGTTTTGTAAAATCCACACAATCCATCAAAATACATCCTTCCATGTAGTCAGATAATACAGTATCAAATGTTGTCAGCAAAATAAATACTATTATTAATCAAGTGCAATTACAAAGCTTCTTTCCAAGGGAAGAATTGGTAGGAGGAGTAGTAAAAGATCAGAGGTATCTACTCCAGTTAAGGCTCCCTTTGTTTTATTTATTTGTTATTTATAAATGTCTGAGGACAAAGAGAGTTTGTCAACAGCCAACACTGCTATGGCACTGGAATTCCCCGTTTATCAATTATTTTAGTGCTGATGAGCCACAATTTGCTGTTGGAGTGCACTTAGGGCTGCTGCAGCATAAGCTTCCTTTACTTTCTAACCGCCAGTATAAAGCTACTCAGCTTTGGCCACATATCTGCCATCTCATTAAGCTCAGACCGCCAGAGAGAGGAATGGAATGGACAAAAACGACAAAGTATAAAGCAACAACAGTGGTTCAACATAAAGCATTAAAAATAGCTGATTTCACACACATCGCTAATCAATATTGGCACTTTTCCCGATCAGCTTGTATAAATGCTGGTTATGAGAAAAGTTTACAAAAATTAAATTGTTGTACATCAGTGTTTGTTTCCTTTGTCTTCAATGAGATTGAAAGCATAAACAATGAAGAAAAAAGTTTGAGTGGCAACATGCCTCAACTTTCAGTAAAAGTACAATACATTCAGTAGACATGGAACGTACCCTTTTTTTAAAAAATATATTTATGTACACTTAACAGTATATGATTTCGTATTAACAATGCAAGTACTCCTTATTTACACACACACACACGACAGGTTGATGTATTCTCACAGTTTCCAACAGGGACACAAAAGAAGACATGCCAGTCAAAGATCCCATCAGTCACTGTCGCTCTCATCCTGGTACTTGGCGGTTGCTTTGATAGCGCGTCCGTTTTGTAAAGGCATGTCTTCATAATCACTTCTTTGCAAAGACAAAGAAAACATCAGTTGGTTTATGCAAGTTCACACTGAATACTACTTCCAAAAATGGAAGGATTAAGAATTACGCTTACCCATATATTACTTCATCATCTGAGTCATTTAGCATTGAAAAAGCAGGATTATCCTTCAACTGGGAGTCTGGTGAAATTAAACAAAACCAGTTAGGTAGAGAAATGAATTCATTACCTACTGCATTGAAATTGTGCTGCATTACCTACCATAAAGGGCATTTTTAGAGGGAGAATACACAAATGCTAATGTGTACAAGTAAAAGTTGAGTAGGCCATAGAATGACAGAAATTCAGCTGGTATGTCCAGAATTAAGGAATAATTTCCCACATACTTAACACGTCAACATGCCACCTCACAATGTATATGTAAGTAAAATCACAGTTGAAATAAAATATCATTTGAAAGGATATAGTTTTGGTAATGAGTAGAAAGTTCAGCGACAAAGTTGTCCTGGAGAGCCTTGGCACCAAACCTCAGGTAGAGAATGACCATGCTGGAGGAGAAAGAGCAACAGGATCAAATTAAACCAAATTAACCACAAAGGGCCTTCTAAAAAAAACAAAAAAAAAAAAAAAAAAAACACAAAGGGGGTTCTTTAAGTTTTTGTATTTTCCTAAAAAACGCACCTTATAACAAACACCACAAACGTCAGCGCTGTCAAAAACCTGAGCCGGAGATCTAGTGATCGAAAACACAGCGCATTAATGCTATCATAGTAAAAGGAACTGACTTGAAAGGAAATGCAAGGAGGGGTGGTATGCTGTGATACCTGAGTAAGGCATGTTCTTGAGTTCAGAACAAGCCCTGACGATCAGGAAGATCAGGTAGAGGATGTAAAGGGCAACTACAACCAGGAAGAAGACCTTCATGCCCTAGAGAGAAAGAAAGACTTTACGGAACTGCTGGGAAAATGGAGGACTAAACACTGCTACTTCATAAGACCAACCTTACTCTGTTTTTTTTAACAGTCTCACCTGAAAGTTCCCTATGTCCACTTTATACTGATAAGTAGGGTCTTGGAGTTCATTAACCCTGCAAATTCAGAAAAGGAGAGGAGATATTTCCAACCCTGTTGTAATTCACAGTTTGAATCAGGCTGCTAGTGGCCAGCGACGTCAGACTCACGTTTGCCATATCCCCAGTGTAACTGCTGAGAGCCACAGGAGACCTACAATGATCAGCTTAGGCAGGTAGAACGTCAGACACTTCCTCTCACCCTGTTGAAGCAACATGAAAAACACATGAAACAAGATTCGCCTACCTAAAAAAGGAGAGGGGGGCCGTTAAAGTTTAAGCATTCTACTTGACTCACCTGAACCCTGATGCCATGATAAACACAGAGCCAGAAGAGAAGCAGGGCACACAGGAACAGAGCTTGAAAGAAAGTGTCCAATGTCCCTGGAAACCAGCTGTTCACCAGGAATGACAGCGGGAAAAATGGATCTGAAACAGAAAATACATAATAAGCAACATACCTGACCTTCAAGTTGAACTTCTTTGAAATTGGACATGTGCCGTTGACACATTAAACCACAGTTCCTTCTTTGGCTGTGAACGAAAAGGCTGTAATGGTTTAAAGGTGACATAGTGGGTGGGGAAGCCAGTGTGTTACCTGAGGACTAAGTTAAGGGTAAAAATATGACCTGAGGAGAGGTAATATGGAAACTCACCATTATAGAGTAGCAGCAAAGGAAGCAGGATAGACATCCACTTCTGTTCTATGCCCCAGTCCCTCATAGAAAACTTCCTCAGTGAGTGTGCAAACATACACTGGGAAACGCAGAGAAAGAAACGTTAGTCCTGCGTTTGTTAAGTGTCAGTTTTAAGTCTCTGATTTACACTAGTTATCTTGTCTTCACTGTCACGTTTAAAGGTTTATCTGTGCTCTTACCGTCACCATAAAGGTCAACACCACAAAGACAAACCGGAACCAGATCTCCACTTGCGAGAAAGTGGGATTGTACGTTTTCAACTGAGGAAAAACAGAGAGAAGAAAAGGGATAGAATCAACAAGAGTTAAAATGCTGGGATTGAGGGAAGACTAGTATGGTATAATTCACACTTGATAATGTTGGTGTTGTTTTCGCATATAAACGCTTTCAGCGGTAACAACATAAACAAACTGTGCATGTGCGTTACTCTGGCCCAAACCTAACTTCCGGCAGACTTCCTCAAACAATCCATAATAAGTAAATAACGTTAGCTAGTTTCATCATCAGTCCCTTTACAAAATGACACAGTAGTCTAACATTTATCTCATATAGTCCCAATTACAGCTGTCATCACAGGACTCTACTGCTGGAATTACGTGCAGACTACATGGGCACTATTAGGCTATTAAAACATGAAACAGATCAGTGCTGAATGCTCTGGTTGATATTACAGCCTAATAATTTGACTTCAGCATCTGTTTTGTCACGATTATAGCAGCTGAATTGGTGTGATGCGCGGATCGGCTCGGACATTAACGGAACTTATTAGGCCTATACGCATAAATCATCCACCTGCCCCCCACCAACTAATTATTTTATCACATTTAGAGAACAGCATCTGTGTGGACGTTTTACCCCCACCTCCACCGGTCCCTGTAGCTTTCCAGGCGATTTCTTTCTTGTGTGTTATTGATGTATGAGTGTTTTCTTTAACGATTTACTTTGATAATTAGAACGGCTGCTGTCAGTCATTTAAACATTTCCATCCGTGCAGTGATGTCACAGCAAATATCGTGGGACAAAACAGAAAAAAATTGCAGTAATAAACTTGACAGGACAGAGAGAGGAAACAGAATTAAACTTTAGCTTCTATAATCCACATTTAGACTCTGATGGAGCTCAGGACTGATCAGGAGGACAGCTGCTTTACTTCAAACACTTCTACTGTATGAAACTGGACTCTGTGTGAGACCTTTTGGATGTGTGGAAGAACACAGAACATAAATTAACACCAGATCCTGACCGATCCTGTTGGCGTGTCGGGAGATTTATTATTATTAATTTGTGTTGCTGTGGCTCGTGCGTAAATGCGCACAGTGTCACTGGGGAGACGCTTCATCCAGCTGCTATTTACTGTTCATTTTTACAATCCTGCATCACATTCAACAATAACAACATCAGTGATATCAAAGTGAAATGACATTAAGGAATGCGGTTAGAACAGCGCTTATGAGGCGCTACACAAACGAAGGACAGAACGTTTGATCGCGCATTTGATTCTTTTTAACAGGCTTAATTGATACATCTTATGAAAACAACAGGAACACTGCAGCGTCCTGCTCAGGCTATGGATTGGTCCAGCTGCTTGTCACGCCTCTTGTAAACATCACAGCGGCTGAAAAGACTTCCGCAAAGGATACACAGATGTATCCTCACTTATAGCTCCTCCAGCAAGCCTCCTCAATCCTCGCTCCTTGATGTAAGAATTGAGATGTCCTTCAAGATGGCGTGCTGAGATCGATTTCCAGGTCACACGCTCGAGGATCGAGGAGACAGAAA